AAGGCTTTACTAAAATCCTTTTATCAAACAATTTGGTCTATGGATATATTTTTGGGGTTGTATTAGTCTTTCTGAAAACACTGGTGACTTTCTTTTTCAGTGATAAGGCATATGCTACGGGTAAATTCCTGCCCCGCACCTCCCTTATTTTAAGCTACTTAAAATATGGACTTATAATGTCTTACCTAAATAGTTTTATGCATTACAGTACTTGGATTTCACTGTAAAGTCGTATTCTTGTATATGCTACTGGACCTCTTGGGGGGGAACCCCAAAACATTTGAGCTGTGACTATGACTAAGGACTTAATTAATTTGAAAATTAATTTGAAAAAATGTATTTTTATTTTAAATTGCTTGTGGTCAGCATTGCACTTAATGGGTAGAGTGTAACTTGCAACACCCATGTGTCCACTTCCTCTTTGGCAGTGGAAAAAGTTTCTTACTACTGAAAAAATTAGCTAGCTGTGGAATAGTTTAACCTCTGGGAGAATCAGCAAAAAAAAAAACAACTGTGCTATTCCAAAGGAAATATGTTGCAAGCTGAACACACAACTGTTTCTTAGCAGCACTCACTTCTTTTAGAGCAAACCGTTTCCTTGATGTTGTGTTTTTGTCACATTTTTGCTGTTGCTATTTAAATAGGATTTAAATTGTGGTAAAAGAATTAAAAGTAGGGATCCAAGCAGAGGTGCTGTAAGAATTTGTGTGTACATATCTATATACACACATGTAACACTTGTGAATCACAGCAGAAATCTTAGATAAAATGGCAAGATTGTAACTTTTATGTACATATTGTACACCCTAAGGGATATTTCTAGAATTGAGAAATGTGAGTTGTCTTCTGCTCAGAACTTTGTCTTCTGTATACAAAATATGAAAATATTATGATTCCAATCATAATATCTTACATCTTACAAAACTAGTAGAAAAACAACGCTTGGTATTTTGGCAACTCAGTATTTAGCTTCACATATTTAATAGCTTTAACACATTCTAATGTGTTAAAGTGTATATGTTATTTTATTTTACAGGCTGAAAGCTTACAGAAAAAATGTTGTGGCAAAATGTGTAGGTATTTTTTTTCATTTTCTGATGTTTCTGATGTGTGTAAACCGAAGAGTCTTGCTAATGTGATAGGCCTGTCTTTTCCTAGAAACCCAGCAAAGACATGTTCTGCTTGTGCTCCTAAGTGTCAATGGAATATTAAGAGATACTTTTAAGCTTTTATTTCAAAATTCAACTCATGTAACCTCTAGTTGCAGCTTTCATAAGAGTGAATCAGAAAGAGTAATGGCTTTTTCAAAATTACACACTTAGAGTGAACTCGGCAGAGTGTGTCTGTGTTCACTCCTGTCTCCTCACCATTTTCTAATAGTTGTAGACATATAGTAAATGTTATGTGTGTGTACACACACATACATGTGTAACTTCACATGTTTCCTAAATTGTTTGTTCCAGGTGATTTAAGAAACTATAAAAGTGCTTCTTTAGAGACTGATTGTGATTAGACTTTTACTTGGGTTTTCAGTAATACATCATGACAACGCCTTAAATATGCAATAGTTGACTATCAACAAGACTGGACAAACCTATAGGAAAGGCGTGATGCCTCTTACTTGTCTTTAGCTCTCTGAAGCGAACATGGTGGGAAAAAATTAAACAAGTGTCCCTTTCTCACAGCTATTACAGAATTCTTCTGCTAGGCACATATGTGGGATGGTGTTTGTTCAACATTGTATAAGGGTTCAGCTAACTTATCTAGATGTAAGCACCTAGTGCTAGTCAAGATGCCCCAGTGTATCTGAGCTGGCATCCTGCTGCTCTTCCAGGGGGATTTGGATATCCTATAGGTTGTATCTAATGTCAGCCATGCTTATGTGAGCGTATGTATTTCGGTAACTGAATTCAACCCTCAACGAACATGCATACTTTCTCCCTTGTTCTTTTTAACTAGTGGCCTCTTGGGATAACTATTTGGAGTATAAAATAATCTTTTGTCATAATATAACTAGACTTTCTGACTATTTTTAAGCCCTTGAGTTTCGTGTTGCTGAATGTACTGTAGTTGCATTTGAATTTACTAAAATACTTTTCCTTTTCATAGTATGGTGGAGACATTACAAGAAGAATGAAGCTTTTAAAGAGGCAGGCAGAAGGGAAGAAGTTGATGAGAAAAATTGGCAATGTGGAAGTACCGAGAGATGCCTTTATACGTGTTTTAAAGAGACAAACTGACAAATAGAGATCAGTGACATGCAGCTCATTATTCTCTCAACTTTTGTAAACAGTAGCATGATGAGCTAATGTATAATTTATCACTGTGAGAGGGAACATATTTGACTTTAAATGGTGTAATTTAAATATATGTGGGAACATAAATTGAAAGGACTACACACTTAAAATGCAGAGATACTTGTAGATTATTATGAAATTAAAGTTATTTGACTTAACTGAATGTAAAAGTTTCCATGGTATTGTTTTTCATTGCATTTCATTGTTTTCATACTTTTAACACTTAAATTTTAACAAAATTATGTTTTATTTTTGCATTGTAAGTCTTTGAGATAACAGGAGCAATGAGGCAAAAAGTTTATAAAAATAATTGAAAGGTACGTATAGACAAACAATGCTATGCTGTTTCTTTATTTTTTTTTTTTTTTAAAGTTTGAACTGTTGCCACAAAAATATCAAGCTACTTCCTGTTTTACTTTTCTAAAGTTGCTGTTGTCAGGAAATCCTGTTGATGTTGGGAATCACATCAGGAAAAATAATCATGACTTTTTTTAATGTACCACGCTATTTATTTTAAACTTGTTAAAGTGTGTCAGTTTACCGTGAATAACAGCCTTGCTATGCTAATCTCCAAAGAAATTGTAAGTTTTAATATGTTAAAACACAAGGTATGTAACTACTCCACCAATGAGACCAATTCAGGCCTTAAAGAATTCCTTTAGCATGAAGGTTTGGTTAGAACATGTCTTAGTGTACTTGAAGTTTTACTTACGCTGTTCACATACTAATGTTTGTCAGTGAGTTCTCACTTGAAAGCTGTAGTTAGGTGTTCTTAATATAAGTTGTTGCTTTTGGAAGTGTGAACAAAGCAATCATTAACACAAGTTAATGACCATGCTATACACTGTGTTCACAACTGCATGCCCACCTCCAAAAGCTTTTAAGCTGCTTTTATTTTTTTAGATCTTCAGGGACTAATTTGGGTCTTCACAGATCTTCACTTCTTGTTATTAAATATATTTTAGAGAACAAATTGTTAGTAATACCTACTAAAGTACTCAGTCACCAGGAAAGGCTGCTCTTAAATTTAGGCTTGTAACTGCAATTTGAGATTGATCAATCATAAGCTAGTTCTTTTACTTCAACCCGAGTACATGGATGAATTGGGAAAATCCTTGAAGGGATGTAATTGAACTGGACACTTTCAGAGGTCCCTTTCAACTTGTATTGCTCTCAGAGCCTACAGAAAAAGGAGGGAGGGAATTTTGATACTTCAGTCGTTTGTGGTTTGTTTTTTTTGTTTGGTGGGTTTTTTTTATTTGAAGCTGTTCCAGCTGTATTGAAAAAGCAAAGATCTGGATGTGAACAAGGTATCCCATATCTCTAATAAAGCTATATAAGCTACTGCTGCTACTACTGATGCTGAAGATAGGAAAGGTGCTGTGGACAAAAGCTCTCTATAATTAACATAATCATTATTCCTCCCCTAAAAAACCTAGCCGGAATGCTATCTTAAAAGATAGCATTTAAGAAAGTACAGAGATGTCTTTAAAAAGTACAGAGATGTCTTTAAGAAAGTACAGGTATAGTAATATGTGCTAAGAGTGAAGGAATGAAAGTAAAATTCTATAATATTTTTTATTCCCATTTAAGTAGACCTAAAAAAGAGAAAGTATTGGCTCTGTACTGAGGAATAAGGCAGAAGCTAAAGGTAAGCTAGAGATTATGAAAGATTTACTACTTGGAGAAAGTTGCTGAGTACGACACATCAAATATATGTTGCATAATTAAATGAAAATTACATGCACGGATAAAGCTGCCTTGGGAATGAGACTAGAGGAACTCAGTCTTTTAGCCTTACTATAGTCATCTGAAGCAGAAAAAAATACACATTTGTAGTCCAGTTCTGAGAGGACTTGTACATGATGTCAGTTTTGAGAGCAAGGACTTTAAATGAACGGCTTAGTACTGTTACTGTTAGAACAGTAAATGAAGTAGTAGTTTTTGACACAAAATGACCTGATTCTATCTAGTCACATACTTCCCCCCCCCCCCCCCCTGGAAACATACTTTAAAATCTTACTGACAAAAAGGAGAATAAAATGCTAAAGTAGATGTGCCAGGCTATGTTAGAATTTACTCATTTACCCAAGAAGCCCTTAACTTAAGACTTCTGAACTTGAAAATGCTTGCTTTGCCATTTCAATTTTAACAATGGGCTGCAGGGTAACAGGTAAAGCTTAATGTAACTTACAGGGTTGACTTATTTTTAGTAGTTGACAAGTTTGGAAGGTACTGTAATTGAAGAAAGAAAGTAATTGGGAGTATCTTAAGAAAAAAAAAAAAAAAAAAAAAAAAAAAAAAAAAAAAAAAAAAAAAAAAAATGACTCATGAATTTACAGGGCCTAGAGTAGAATTCTACAGCCAGTAGAATTCGTAACTTAGCTTCTGTTGTTAAACTTTTTTCTAATTGGAGAACAACTGAAGACTATTCATGAAAAGAGGCAGAAACAGTCTTAACCCCGCTCAGCCAAGTATGGGTACTATTGTACCAGTATTTAAACTGGCCTGTGTTTCACAGAAGTGCCAATGGTTATGAAGGGAGAAGAGAGATTAATTCTGTGGTTTCTTACGTCTTGAGAGAACACAGAAAAGGGCTTTAGTTGGTGAGGTTGGCAAGAGAGGCAGAAGACTGAAAGGTGCTCTGGAATAAAGAACGAAAATAAGGAGTTGCAAGGAAGAAAAGCTTTTAGAAGTAGAGGTGTATAAAAGTTATGGATTTCCACTCATTCCTGAACCTAAATTCTACATTTCCTCAACAGAATTCCCAATTTTGCCACAAGATGGATCATGATGCATTTTGTGGGTCATATGCTACACATAACAGCATTCTCCTGAAACACAGTGTTTTAAACTTTCCCCTCCCAATGTTGCATTATGCTTCAAAAATGCAAGGGCAAAAGTTGAGTCTTAAACCTGAAAGCCTGTTTTAAATCTGTGCTTGTTCAATCTACTGTTAAGAACTGAAACACTAGGCCTGGCTTCCTACGCTGCTCGAGACAAGACTCTTCCATCCTTTTGTAATTTCATAGGATTGTAGAACAGTCCAGGTTTGAAGGGACCTGGAAAGACCATCTGCTCCACCCTTTCTGGGAAAGGTGAGCCTAGATGAGATTACCTAGCACCCTGTCCAGTCGCATCTTGAAAGCCTCCAGCAGTGGGGACTCCACCACATCCCTGGGGAGGTTGTTCTAGTGAATGATTGTTCTTATTATAAAAAAGTTACTTCTTACATTGCAATAAAACCTTTCCCAGTGCAACTTGTACCTGGGGCCCCTTGCTTTCTCCGTGTAGCTCCCTGTGAAGACAGCCTCCCTCCTCTTTGTACTCACCCTTTAAATACTGGAATACTGTGATGGGGCCCCTCTCTAAGCCTTCTCCAGGGAGAAAAGGACTAACTCCTTATACAGCAGGTTCTCCAGCTCTTTGATTATCTTTGCAGCCCTCCTTTGGACCCTCTCCAGTCTGTCTGTATCTTTCTTGAATTGTGGGGACCAGAACTGGATACAGTACTCGAGGTGTGGCCTGACAAGCACCAAGTAGAGTGGGATCATCACATCTCTATCTCTGCTAGTAAAGTCCCTGTGGATGGAGCCCAGGACCCGATTTGCCTTTGTTGCTGCTGTCTCATGTTCAGCTTGCTGTCCACCAGCGTCCCTTTCAGCAAGGCTGCTTCCCAGGCGCACAGCCTGGGACCCTTGGTTATTCCATCCCAGGGATTTAGGCCAAATTCCTGTTAGTGCAGCCACTGGGCCTGTTGGGCCAGTATCCTCAACTGTAAAACAGGATTAACGTGATTTGTAATAAAGGCTACCTGCCTATCATCTATCTAGGCAAAAAGTTAAACTGTTGAAGCTGTGCTTTGTTGCACGTTCTTCCAGTGAGAATTTTATACAAGGGTGTGCCCCCCCCAAGTCTAAATCAATAAACTTTTAACTTCCCCCTTAGGTGGAAGAAGACACAAAATTCCTAACCTCTCCATGAAACCCTGAAGTATTTATTCAAGTCAGTTTATATTTAAGTTTTACTTATATTCAAAGTAGAAATAACATTCCTTGTAACAGCTCAATATTTATAATGATACAATGAGAGGTAACTATTGCAAAGTGATTAACAGTTGACTTTAATACATGATCATTTAAACTTGCAGACATTATAGTCCTGTAAATTAACCTCTTTTCAGGCATTTAATAGTAACATCAATGGTACAATTAAACAGGTACCTCCAGAAAGGAACATTTAGATTTTTCCTTATGTATAAAGCTCAATTACCAAAAATATAAAAATCCTAAAGTAACTTGAAATACATGAGAGGAAAAAAGTGCTATGGCAGAAGTTTAATATTTTTATCTGTGGAGTAAAGTACAACTTTCAAGAATTTGGTGCATTTTTAGGCACTGTTTTTGTATTTTTATTTGCCTGAATTGTACATGCCCAAAAACTGTTTAAGATAAATTTAAGGCAACCAAGTACAAAAGCTCAGTGTACATTAGACAGATGTAAACAGAACATTTCATAGTAGAAATTATACAACTATTACAATTCCATAGTATTGACAAAGGCCAAAACCATTCAGCCTAGACACACAAATGCAAAATGTAGTTACACTAATCAAGCCAAAAATTACAAATTCCTGGAAATAAAATATCATTTTCTCTAACACAAGGCAGACGCATTACATTGCTGTGCTAGAATAAGTGCTCTGCTTTTCCCCCTACATAACATGCAGCCTCCCACAGGTTTATTCTGTTCCATTTAGTTATGTACCAGCCAACAACAGAGCTCCAACCGTTAAAGCAAAATGCACAACACTGCAAACAGACGGAATGTGAATGTACAGATATTGGACCTTTTAAAAAAAATACAGTACCTAGGATTCCCCATTTTAAACAGTTTTCAGCATATTGCATAGCAGTGAACTCATCTGCTACCTAAAACTGTTGCTGTTGACCCACATGGAGTTCCTCTTCAATTCTTCTTTCAGTTTTCTTTCATACTGTACAGTGGGTCCACAAGCTTATTGTGCACATGCATTAAACCTTGGGGGGAAAGCAACAATGCCAGCTTTACATTAGTTATACTTTTTCAACATGTCTTTCTATCCACATTTTTTAGTTGGAGTTTGCGTCAAAGTATACATTTTAAATAGTTCACTGAAGAGAATAACAATGGCTATTTAAAGTAGTTTAAAATCAGAAGTTAAAGACAGCATAGATATTCCTGTATCACTTGAATACTATTGACATCTTCAGTATAAAGTGAGCATGGACAAGACAGCTCTCCGGTAACAGACCTGTCAAAAAGTCTATCTGGAATACTTCCAAAGGAATTGAACACGAGACCCACCCATCTTTCCTTTCTATTAAAAACTGCATAGCAGCAACATAAAATTCCCTCATACCACAATTTGTCATGAAAATCAGATGTACACATACTGATACTTTTACTTAACAGCTTGAATTGCAATGTTTAGCATTGTGGTATGTCTTTGTAATTAGAAGTGTACTTGCGGTCCTAGACAGGCAAAGGCAAAACCAAACTAAAAGTATCCAGACTATTAATGCAGATTTAGAACTGTTTTCTATTCTAGCTGGGCTTTTTTTGGTCATATACAAGTCATCCATAGCTGTGATTAGGGGAGTATTTTTTTTCCCCCCTATTCAGACACTTTCATTTTAGAAAGTGCTGAAAAGAGCAATAAAAGAAAAAAGGTGCTGCTTGCTTTATTTTGTTACAACTTTGTAAAAATGTTGCCTATATCTAGGTATGTGTGACATTCAGTCACTGGTATGTTTTTAACCTCATTTCACCTTAAGGACTAATAACAGTAACTGATCAGTGTTCACAATCTGCAAAGTAAAAGTCCATTTTAGCACCAAGCTAAAGATTAACTTCTAAAATTACAAATTTAAATAATATGCAACATTCAAAGTAGAGATTTTCTTCTTAAAAACCTTTAAAGAAGTCTGACAGTAGTGCACATTTTAGTGATTATATATTGCAAAGAATATTCAAATACCGTTGCTATGTGATGCATCTGGTGGCAAGCTTTGTGTCACTGCAGCAACATGAAATTTGAGTAACTATACGATCTGACATCATTACTGTAGGTGACCACAACAAAAGGCATTTTATGCAGCATCTGTTTCTAATCAGTGTGTGATTATTTAATATAAAAAGCAGACTTTACTATTTCCTTCTCCAATTAGTGACATGTTCAGCCATACTAAACCGCCAACACACCTATAACTGACTCAAGAATCCAGCTCATTTTGCCTCTAGAGGTAATGACTTAGCTTCAGATATTTGTGCAAAAAAAACCCCAAACAAACTTAGAAGGGAACATAACTAAAGAAAACAGTTTCTTAGATTTCATGAAGGGTAACTATCAGGTTGATGTACGTGGGAAAGATCAAGTCAGTAATATTTTTCAGGAGTTTAACAGTAAGTGAAAAAATACTATGTATACATTTGACACAAAAGCCATTTGTACTGTAAGAGTACCAGCTGCACACACTACTCAGACTAGAACCATGTTTTGAACTTTAAAGCATTCCGCTTCCTACCAGCGTTTTTCTCTTCTAAAAAAGGGAAATGAAAAGGAGATAATTACCCACTTCCTAGAGGCATGAAAAATGCTTACAAAGTATTGCCTCTGCCACATTTCATGAAGGATATTTAAATCCTGTGAAATTGTTTCAGAAAAACAGTTAGAAACAAAAGCTTTTTTTAAAGATATGCAGAGTCCTTACTTGATAGATGCCAAAACAATTATTTCAAAGGAAAGTCTCACTGCATATTGAAGTATGCTTTGAATAAACAGATTTCTGCATACAGTTTTAAGAGGAGCATACACAAGTATGGAAAAACTATCCTGAATTGACTTATCTGCAGACTAATTAGTAAATTCAAAATTCATTTTCTGCTTCATTCTGCAAGAAAGTTACCTTTCCCTTTTCCCATAAGAACATTTAAGTACACTTGATAATTTTAGCCTCTAATAGGTTTTCAGAAAGCTAGAAAAAAGTGAAGGGGAGTAAGTTATTCTAGTTACCAGCCAGTGTGGTACTTGATTATCAAAAAGATTTGAAGTTTCATGTAGTACCTGGAGATTTTTTAAATGGAGAAAAATCACAGTAAATAGCTGCCATAATTAGCAGTCATTAAGAACTACCTAGCTTCCTAAGAAATCTAACCTGAAGATCAAGACTCAAATAATTCCAAATTTGACCCACATTGATTTCTCCTCCATCTTAAAACGGGAAGATCTTACTGATTTGAGAATAGGTAAAATTAAGCAAATTTAAAGTAAACCATCTTTTTAAGAATTCTATTGCTCTGTATTACAGGGCAATTAAAGTGTGACACAATAGCACACATTCATATACTGTAGCCCTTAATTTTTTTAAAGCAATGTTCAGTGTCATTCATACCTAATAATTCTACGTTAGGTTTATATCTTTCCCAAGCAAAGCTTTTGTTTATATGAAATACAGGATAACGTTTAAAATTTATCCAAGCAGTTAAAGAAGTTTCTTTGAAAACAACAGTAAGTACTACCTAGCAGTGTGATACAGGTAAAGACTAACACACACAATACATAGCAAAGAATACATAGCATACTAAAAAAATCCAAACTTAACAAGTTTGCCACAAATGATATCAGGGTAAAAATCACATTAATGCCAAAATTGCAATCCAATACATATGGACACTGGTGATATAATGTTCTAAAAAATAATTTCATAAATTACAGTCTTAATCTCTGATGCCTCAAGTACTACAAGTATCCATGCTAGTGAGAAAGATGAGCGATTTACACGATTGCATTTGCTGTGCTAATATAATTAGGAGAAAACTACTTTTCCTTAGCTTCTGCAGTCTCAGTGAAACAGAATTCACATCTAGGAACTTTCAATGACTACCAAAAATCCCAACTTTAAGCTTGCCTCAATATACCTACTACAAATATGAAAAGCACAGTAAAAGGCTGCAATGTATTAAAAGTTGGTATAGATTGTTATGCTAATGCACTGTATGAAGTGTCCTCAGGTGGCTTCAAAGTCTGTATCACACATTTCAAGTTTACTAGACAGCACATTACAGCACATAGCAAAAGCAGCGTGAAAATATATCAGGATTAATAAATGTATCAAGTTTTCTTTAAGGGAGCCTTTCTAGTATATTTAAGACCAGTATTCTGGAACACCAGACTGCTGCTGTTTTACATACAGTTGAAGATTACTAAACTATCATTTCAAATTGGAAGCAAAGGAAATATTTTTTCAAAGTAGATGTGTCGGGAATGTAAGGAACACAAGTTATGCCTCCTAGCACTTTTCCATTCACAAGAAATAAGTTAACATTTAGTATTTTGGATATATAACATTATACATTAGCTACTGTAAAGTGTTGGAAGGCTCAGACTTAAATCAATGTAATTTAAAATTTCTTTTTTTTAAATACATGTAACCTCTGATTCAGTGCTCACCTTTAAAGTACTTCACAGTTTTAACTCTTAGTTCTAAAGTAGCATCTTCATCACACACAAAGATAGTACGAGGGTGTTGCTGGAAAGCAGAAACTGTCCACATATGATTGACTCCTTCTTCAATTGCTTTGTACAATGCAAAAGCCTTATGTGCACCTGTTATAAGAATCATCACCTGCAAAACAAAGGTCTCTTTACTTTCAATCCCAGTATCAATACCAACTAGTCTTGAAAACAGACACATGCAACTAGAACTAAATGAGTTCTTACTTCTCTAGCATCCATCACTGTACCCACACCAACTGTTAGCGCCATAGTTGGTACTTTAGATAAGTCTCCATCAAAGTATTTAGCATTTGCCAAAATGGTGTCCATTGCTAAAGTCTTTAATCTTGTTCTTGAAGACAAACTTGATCCGGGTTCATTGAATGCAATGTGGCCATCTGGACCAATGCCTTTTCAAAGTTAAAAGAAGTAAATCATTCCAGACCTGCGAGTCAACAAATATCCTCAAACATTGTAAATGAATAAAAAAGTTTTAGGACTCATTTTCTTTCCTTTTGGTTCCCCGTTTTCAATAGGAAGCATTCAAAACTTACTTGAAATTAAGTTATTAGAAACTTGGACACCAACCGTTCTGTTCTGGTATTCATACCAATTCTTTGTTAGTCACAGAACTTTCTGACACCAGAACTGAAAAAAGTGGGTTTAGCTAAGTTATGAAAATGGCGATTAAAGAGTCAGTGTATTTGTTGGAATCATAGCTAACCATAGAGCATTTCCTCATACCTCCAACAAACAGATCAATCCCCCCTGCTTCTTCGATTTTCTTTTCAAATGCATCACATTCTGCCTGTAAGTCTGGAGCATTCCCATCAAGGATATGAGCATTATTTGGATCTATGTCAATATGTTTAAAGAAGTTATTCCACATATAGGAATGATAGCTTTCTGGATGATTTCTGGGAAGCCCTGAAATAATTGAGAGTGAAATTAACATATTACAAGATTTAACCAAACAGCCTTAATTCTAGTCTATGTGTAACCAATGTAGGGCATGCAAGACAAACTTAAGAAAGAAGTCAGATAAAGCAGTATTTGAAATTATATTGAGAAGAAAGATTTCCTGTTGGTACGCACAAGGTAAATGGTTTACATTTCCTTCACAGACATCCTACAGCGAGTGTAAAGTCTTTAAAAGAGATGCAGTCACAATACTACGTGACAACATACTTTCTACAGAAGTATTGTAAAGTAATTTACAAGCACTGAATTTAGCCTGGAATCCACCTGGACTAGTTTATTATTTGCATTTTTGTGGAAAAAGGAATAGAGAAAAAGGCTTAAGACGACCCCATGTACATAAGTCTACCTTAGAAGTACAAACATACTAGACTGATCTTGCGCTTTGTCAAGTATTCAACAGTTTTAATAAAGGAAAAAAATTATCAGTGTAGTGTGTTCTCAAACAATTAGCACACCTTACCTACATATTCATCCATGTTGAAAGTCTTTACATATTTGAAAGAGAGATCTCCATTCCTGTGATATTCTATCAGCTTTTTGTAGCATCCCAAAGGTGTACTCCCTGTTAAATAAAGTTTTTCTACTGTTCTATGTATCTGCACGTTTTCAGTGTATTTAAATCTCTTCAGAGTCAGATTTTGCTACAATGCTTTTCAACATAAAAGAAAACTGTTATTTCTCATTTAGTATTTCTCAGCTTCTCAAACTTTATCACAACTTTTTACACAAATCAAATCCATATTTAAATAGAAATATGTTGGAGTATTACCAAAAAAACAGTTGTGTTCTTTTAAATACTGTATCTGTTAGCAGGGATACAAACATAGTTCTAGGTTTAGTCATTTACATAGGCTTTGAATTAAACTTGCCTGTTGGTAGACCAAGCGTGAAATATCTTCCTTGACTTGGCTTGAATTGGATAATACGATTACAGATGTATTTTGCAGCCCATTCACTAGCCTGATCATAATCTTCAAGAATTACTAGCCTCATTATGGCTGTGAGGAACTTGTATAAAATACACCTAAACCTGGAGAAAATGCCAAAGTTTTAAAAATAAGCACCACATGAATAGTTGTAAAATTCTTGATATTACAGAAGAGAAAAAAAATGACCTTTTATACTGATGATGTATAGCGCTAAATAAGGTATATTTTAATTGCATAAGCATATTGCACTCTTGCAGTCCTAGTTCAAGCTGGACTGTTGGACAACCAAAAGAAAAGGTACAGAATCCAAGTGATAGATTACAATCAAATATTTATTAAAATTCACAGACTAATTTAAAGTAACTTGTAGGAAAAGCTAAAACAAAATGAGAACAAGCCCTTTTGAACTTCAATCTTTTAACTAGCTGCTACTGTTAGAAAAGAGGAAATACTCTGCTTGAAATAAAAGCAAACAAATAAGTGAACAAACATTGAGATTTTCTTCTGTTTCTTATGACCAGCTGAATGCCTAAAGTTTCAAAGACAAGGCCCAGAATAACCCCATGCTTTTATCTTCAAAAGAAATAATTGGAAGTAAACAATTAAAACTCCTTTCACTCCCATTCTTGCTCTGTAACAATGCTTCAGTAAGTTTATTAATCTGAAAAAAAATGTTAAAGCATTAGAGATATCTGAAATCTTTACAATTCACAGGAAAAAAACCAAACCTACGCGGTCACATTTTTTCTTTTCAACATAACTTCAAACAGAAGTCAATCAGTCAGTCATTCTTTCAAGGCTCTGATTTTGAGTACAACTGTATCAACCATGAAGATGAATATCTAGAAAACAAGCTTGGCTGTAAAAAGTACCTGAGCATCTCTTGCATTTAAGTAAAACTCATTTCTCCATGAGCTTCTGCTTAAGAGAGTCAGGTAATTATCAGAAAGACTGAGGCTCTTTAGCCAGTTTGCCATGTATTACTCTTCTCTTCCCAGGTCTGACCGTGCTTGGCATTAACCGGAAAACACCACAGCTGTCAGAAGCCTAAGGCCAGCTAAGTGCCAAACCACCGCTAGCACGCACTACTCTTAGCTGACCCAAAATGAGAGGCCAGTTTTAGAACAAATAGGAATTAAGCTACAATAGTGCTTAACAGGGTAACATCTGTTCGCCCCGCTAAAGAAGGAAGGAGACGAACTCCACCTTTTCTTTGCTGACCGCGCCGCTTCCTCTCCCCGGACGGTAAAACCGTGACAAGTCGAACTTACCTTTGCAGAGGAAAGGCTACTCCACAAGCACCGAAAAAGTTAACACACTTCCTCGGGATGGACAGAAAAGGAGATCCCGCGGCCTTAGGGCGGCCTCATAAAGCTTTAACAATTTTACCCCGAGAACACGGTGATGCTCTCCGAGAGACAGAGGAGCGACCCGCCAACGGGCACCAGAACGACCGCGGACTTTCGGCCGGGGCTACTTTTTGGGGGGGTTGGTGAGTCTACGCTGTTGGAGGAAGAGACACCGACCCCCGCCAGCGCCGCCCCCCCCTCCCGCCCCCCCCGCCAGCCCCCCGGCCGG